ATTACATGAAAAAAAAAATGAATCATTCATGTTTTATACTTCTAAAAAAATCTCAGCAATAAGTTAAAAAGATAACAGAGATATCAGTTATATGAAAATGAATGATAGTTAAAATATATAAGACACATATTTTAAAATATAAAAACACGGATTTTTTTTTTTTTTGAAAGAATCTCACTCTGTCACACAGGCTGGAGTACAATGATCATAGCTCACTGTAACCTCAAACTTCCAGGTTCAGGTGATCCCCCTGCCTCAGCCTCCCTAGTAGTTGAGAATACAGGTGCACACTAGCATGCTCAGCTAATTTTTTTATTTTTATTGGTTTGTAAAGATAGGGTCTCACAGACTGGTGTGGAACTCCTGGCCTCAAGTGTTCGTCCTACCTGAGCCTCCCAAAGTGTTGGAATTACAAATGTGAGCCACAGCACACAGCCAAACACAGATTATTTCTAAAACCAGAATTGCACCACCTGCTTTGTTTTATATAGTTTCTTCCCCTATGCCTACAAATCCCATTATATGTTTCAAAAAATCATCTTACCCATTTAGATAAAAATATCAAATTACTCAGTTAATGTTAAACTGGATTAATAAATCTGAACAGAATAGTTTAAGTCATATGATTATTCATGGCCAGCTGTTTTAAATTAGTATATTAATTCATTTAGACACTCTTCTTTGCAAAGGTTGCATGATTTAATAAATTCCCTTATGCTTCCACATGTGCCAGTGCTGCTCGGTTATCTTGTATCCAGCTCCTGTTGTGATGATGGCTGCCAACTTTCAAACAACTGAAGAGAATAATGAACCAGCTTAGTTGGCTAAGATGTAAACTTACATTGCTCCTAGCTAAAACACGGGCCATTTTCAACAGTAAAGAAAATTAATTAAAAGGATTTCACCTCCACTGTTTGAGAATCACGGCTCCCCCAGTATCACAGAATTAGCAGTTTAAAAGCTTGCAGCTTCAGTTAAACTCCCAAAGTTTGGATTTCAATCTTAAACGCTGTAGGTTGTCTTAAAAATAGATTTTTTTTTTTTTTTAAGAAAACAGATCAGGAAATGCTTTGTTCACAATTTATAACATAACATTTGAGAAGCCTCACATTGCTGGAGATTTTATTTATTAAAGGCACATTATGAAAAAGGCTTCAATGACTTTAGGGGAAATAAAAGATGTAAAGGAAATAGGCTGCTATTTAGGAAGGATTTAAAAACCAACAGAAAAAGAAAGCACGAAACATACCACTTCAAGTCAGGATCATTTTATGAATGAGTGTTAGGCACAAATCAGCCAAGAGTGAAAATACTGTACTGAATTTTAAGAAAGGCCGGACAAGACAATTTTCTGCTGGATCAGTTATCCAGACCAGTGGCTGGAAAGAAAGTTCTGAAACTTTGGTGTTGCCAGAATAAGCACTAATCTATTCGGCATAAAGCAATACCAGTTTTTATAGGGGAAAGGAGGTCAAATACAAGCACTATTTAAAATATTTCATTTCTTTCTTTTTATTTCTTCTTCTTTTTTTCTTTTTGAGATGGAGTCTCACTCTGTTGACTAGGCTGGAAAGCAGTGGCACAACCTCAGCTCACTGTAAATTCTGCGTCCCGAGTTCAAGTGACTCTCCCATCTCAGCTTACCGAGGAGCTGGGATTACAGGCGCGCATCACCATGCCCGGCTAATTTTGTATGCATTTTTTCTTAGTAGAGATGAGGTTTCGCCATCTTCGCGAGGCTGTTCTTGAACTCCTGACCTCAGGTGATCCACCCACCTCAGTCTCCCAAAGTGCGGGATTACAGGCAGGCGTGAGCCACTGTGCCTTGCCTAAAATATTTCATTTATTTCTAAATGACCATAGTAGTTGTAAATTATTCACTAGGTAGATGGACTTCCCTAAGAGGATAGAAAATCCTTGTTCACTGAAGGGCAAAGATAATTATACCGTCCTCATGGGAGTAACGCTGTACTATTCTTCGTAAGTAATGGACTAGACAAAAATACATAATTTTATGGTTCTGATGAACTTTCTAAAACTATGCAAGAATCACTTTTTCATTAAATTAAATTAATTAATTAAATTTTTGAGATGGAGCCTTGAACTGTTGCCAAGGCTGGAATGCAGTGGCATGATCTCAGCTCACTGAAGCCTCTGCCTCCCTGGTTCAAGTAGTTCTCCTGCCTCAGCCTCCAGAGTAGCTGGGATTACAGGCATGTGCCACCATGCCCAGCTAATTTGTTGTATTTTTAGTAGACATGGGGTTTCACCATGTTGGCCAGGCTGGTATCAAACTCCTGACGTTGTGATTTGCCTGCCTCAGCCTCCCGAAGTGCTGGGATTACAGGAATGAGCCACCGTGCCCAGTCTATTTTATTTTTCAAGATGGGGTCTCACTCTGTCAGCCAGACTGGAGTGTAGTGGCAGAATCTTGGCTCACTGCAACCTCTGCCTCCCAGGCTCGATCGATTCTCCCACCTCAGCCCCCCAAGTAGTTGGGACCACAGGTGCTAGCCAACACGCCTGGCTAATTTTTTGTATTTTGGTAAAGATGGGGTTTTACGGTGTTGCCCAAGCTGGTCTTGAACTCCTGAGCTCAGGAGATCCACCTGCTTCAGCCTTCCAATGTACTGGGATTACAGGCATGAGCCACCACACCAGGCCTAGGATCACTTTATTAGCAGTGATAATCTGATTTCTTTTTCTTTTCTTTTTTTTTTTTTTTAAATAGGTTACCTGAAGTTTTCTCAGTCATCTGCTATACATAAACAGGTATACCATACAGGCTGCCCACTAGAGTCTTCCGATATATCTTACTTACAATCTAAATGTGAAATTATATACCAGGGTTGCCTCTGCCGTTGCTGCAGATACACAGTTACAGAGTTAATTTAACAATCTCTCCAAGATGCTAACTGACTAGACTCATACTCTGCAATCCAAGTGACTCACGGCACTTGAAACTGAAATTATGGTTGGGTGTGTGTGGGATGGAGTGTCTTCTCAGGCATCTCCTATATCTTCTCCAGGTATGCCTAATATTTTTATTGCTAGAAATACTAGAGATCCCTGGGAAACACAGTGGGTTCTAGGATCCTCCAGTTGGGTTGAATACTTCTAGAAAAACTAAATGGATGCCTCACGATAACTCAGCATCCAAAGAACCCTGATTCAAAGAAATCCGAGAAACTATTTTCTAATACCTGACATAATCATCTTTTTACCTCTATATAGCTCATGGAGGCTGCTGGAACTGTTCAAGATGGAACAGATTTAACAGATGCTCAGAACAACGTAACTTGCTGTGAAACTGTTGCCTGGTTAAGTAGCCACAGTGATTCCTCCAACAACTGAGTCAGTCCTCAACCAAATCCAGATAAAAGAGAGGTGCTGATTCCTTAACCTATTTTAATCATATTAATACAACAAATTATCTGGAAAACGTTCTAGTCTATTCTGCACATGGGATGCATGTCTACACTTGGGAAGATCTTGTGTAACAAGGATGAAGTTTTTATTTGCTACTGCTCTAATAAGCAAACAAGGCAGAAATTTCACAGCTACAACAACCGACTTGAAATTCTGAAAATATGCCGTTCACCAGTGCCAGTGTGCCCAAAAGAACTCTCTTATATGAGAGAAATCTGCCTGCAATAACAGAATAAAGGCAAAAAAGGGCTACAGGCCAACAACAGACATTTAACATACAAATCTGTATTCTTTAGCCTTACACGGTTCTGTTGAAAATTTCAAAGTATTAAAAAGGGTAGAGATCTGTTTTCCATTTTCCACTTTGAAGGCTATAATAGTTAACAAATACACTTTCTATTCACTGATTTGAGTATCTGGACAATTACCTATAATTGTTTGAATGTACACTAAGTAGCATTCCTCATAATGGTTACGATAATCAAGAATGCCTAGAGGTGAAAAAAGTTAGAAAGATATATAAAGGTATGGAAGAATGTAAAAAGGAAAAAAAAAAAAAAGAGAAGATTTTAAAACGATCGTATGCAGTTAGAATAAATGACTAATTACAGGTGGAAAAAATAATTGCTTACGATTTGTATAAAGCAATCATATCCATGCAGTACTCTGACACAGTGCAAAGGTACATAATTATAAACAAGAAGATGGAAATAAAAAGTTGCATCTTAATTAAGAAAAACAACAGAGAAAAAGCCATGGAAAAAATTTATGGAAAGTAGGAAGACCCAGGCCACAAATATGCCAAGACTAATGACATATCCCCAAGGGCAGAACAGTGTCCTTGACTTGAGAAGGCTCTGTATGACCCTGGCCAGCGCTTCCGTTTCCTGGCCAGCATAATCACAGAAGGCAGTCAACGTTTGGTGATGAGGAGCAGCGTTCCGAAGAACATAATTAAGGGCTGCAAGTATGTTCTGTGGAAACAAAATTATCATTCATGTCTGACATTGTGTAAATATGCCTTAATTTTGGTCAATAGCAATTTGAACCTTAAAAATTAGAATCCTCAAACCTCCTTGTAAATCACAATTCTTTAAGCAAACTGCAGGGATTTGTGTGTAAAAGCAGAGACATTCCAGATACTTTCTAAAAAATGCTGTCCAGCAGAAAATTATCTATTTTGTAGTGACATGATTTGGCCTCTCTCCATGTCAAAACCAGCTCATAACTTCAAAAAGCCACATTAAAGGAGATTTACATAGAGCAAAGCAAAAGCAGTTTCCATCCACCAGGTCAGGTATAAAAATAATCACAACTCACATTACCTTAAAAAGACTGGCAATCTTACACAAATTAATGGTGTGTTGTGTACAGACGGAAGGTGGAAATAAACTGAGGAGAAAGAAAAAGCCACATCAAAGGTGCCAAGGAGACTTAAAGGCTTTGAAGGCTTCGAAAGTCTCGCCTTCTCTCTTATACCTTTAATTGTAAGGCTGTAATAAGGGCATTTTTGCCACAAGCTCTTGAAAGAAAAAAGAAATGGTTATTTTCTTAAGTACTAACAGACTTACTTCTCTTTCAGAAAATCCACGACTCTTTTGAAGTCAGCCACACAGTATTCTCTTTTCATTTCCATGAGTACGCTGTCGGAGGCAGACTGGACTGGTATGTGCAGAAATGCATAGACTCTGGGGTGATTAAGGATTTTCGCCATTTCCTTAAAAAAATGGAAGTTGAAAACATTAATCGTTTTAACAAATTGTGGAATGGCTTTCCACACATCAACGCTAGTGCAAGCAAATAAACATACTAGTTGAAAATACACCAATCACCAAGGCTCTTAAAATGAACATCACTTGGCAATATTCTATGATAAGATCTGGGAATTCAGTAACGCTTTTAGAGGATTCCACAGGAGAATTATTTTTTCATGCTTTCTGTTTCTCTGAGGTGACAAAAAAGAGATAAAATCATATATGCCCAAAGAGTAAGAAAGATTTTTCAGTCCTCCAAAACAAACATCATTCCTGCTTCATTTCAATTAAGTTTTGCATTCGCCTTGTTACATTTGTGGGAAAAACAGCAATATTTAAGGCAAACGCTTGAGATCCCATAATCCCCTATACTTGAATAGAGAAAGTTTCCAAGTTTAGGTTAACACATTTTTTTATTGCATTTTAGGTTTTGGGGTACATGTGAAGAACATGCAAGATGGTTGCATAGGTACACACATGGCAGTGTGGTTTGCTGCCTTCCTCCCCATCACCTATATCTGGCATTTCTCCCCATGCTATATCTCCTGAACTCCCCACCCCTACTGTCCCTCCCCTATCTCCCCCACCCCGACAGTCCCAAGAGTGTAATGCTCCCTTCCCTGTGTCCATCTGTTCTCATTGTTCAACACCCAACTATGAGTGAGAACATGCAGTATTTGATTTTCTGTTCTCGTGTCAGTTTGCTGACAATGATGGTTTCCAAGTTCATCCATTTCCCTAACTCACTGTTTTTGATGATTGTATAATATTCCATGGTGTGTATGTGCCACATTTTTCCTGTCCAGTATATCATCAATGGGCATTTGGGTTGGTTCCAGGTCTTTGCTATTGTAAACAGGGCTGCAATGAACATTCGTGTGCATGTGTCCTTATAGCAGAATGATTTATAATCCTTTGGATATATACCCAGTAATGGGATTGCTGGGTCAAATGGAATTTCTATTTCTAGGTCCTTGAGGAATCACCACACTGTCTTCCACAATGGTTGAACTAATTTACACTCCCACCAACAGTGTAAAAGTGTTCCTATTTCTCCACATCCTCTCCAGCATCTGTTGTCTCCAGCTTTTTAATGATCGCTATTCTAACTGGCATGAGATGGTATCTCAATGTAGTTTTGATTGGCATTTCTCTAATGACCAGTGATAATGAGCATTTTTTCATATGTTTGTTGGCCTCGTATATGTCTTCTTTTGTAAAATGTCTGTTTATATCCTTCACCCACTTTTGAATGGGCTTGTTTGTTTTTTTCTTGTAAATCTGTTTTAGTTCTTTGCAGATTCTGGATATCAGCCCTTTGTCAGACGGGTAGACTGCAAGAATTTTTTCCCGTTCTGTTGGTTGCCGATTCACTCTAAGGACTGTTTCTTTTGCTGTGCAGAAGCTGTGGAGTTTGATTAGGTCCCATTTGTCTAATTTGTTGCCAATGCTTTTGGTGTTTTGGTCATGAAGTCCTTGCCTACGCCTATGTCCTGAATGGTTTTGCCTAGATTTTTTACTAGGGTTTTTACGGTGTTAGGTCTTATGTTTAAGTCTTTAATCCATCTGGAGTCAATTTTAGTGTAAGGTGTCAGGAAGGGGTCCAGTTTCTGCTTTCTGCACATGGCTGGCCAGTTTTCCCAACACCATTTATTAAACAGGGAATCCTTTCCCCATTGCTTGTTTTTGTCAGGTTTGTCAAAGATTGGATGGTTGTAGATGTGTTGTTGTGTTGCCTCCAAGGCCTCTATTCTGTTCCATTGGTCTATATCTCTGTTTTGGTACAAGCACCATGCTGTTTTGATTACTGTAGCCTTGTAGTATAGTTTGAAGTCCAGTAGCGTGATGCCTCCTTCTTTGTTCTTTTTGCTTAGAATTGACTTGGCTACGTGGGCTCTCTTTTGCTTCCATATGAAGTTTAAGGTGTTTTTTTCCAGTTCTGTGAAGAAGGGCATTGGTAGCTTGATGGCGATAGCATTGAATTTGTAAATTACTTTGGGCAGTATGGCCATTTTCACGATATTGATTCTTCCTAACCATGAACATGCAATGTTTCTCCATCTGTTTGTGTCCTTTCTTATTTCATTGAGCAGTGGTTTGTAGTTCTCCTTGAAGAGGACCTTCACATCCTTTGTTAGTTGTATTCCCAGGCATTTTATTCTCTTTGTAGCAATTGTGAATGGCAGTTCATTCTTGATTTGGCTCTCTTTAAGTCTGTTATTGGTGCATAGGAATGCTTGTGATTTTTGCACATTATTTTGCATCCTGAGACTTTGCTGAAGTTGCTTATCAGTTTCAGAAGATTTCGTGCTGAGACAATGGAGTCTTCTAGATATACAATCATGTCGTCTGCAAATACAGACAATTTGACTTCCTCCTTTCCTAACTGAATACCCTTTATTTCTTTTTCTTGCCTGACTGCTCTGGCTAGAACTTCCAGTACTATACTGAATAGAACTGGTGAGACTGGGCATCCTTGTCTAGTGCCAGATTTCAAAGGGAATGCTTCCAGTTTTTGCCCATTCAGTATGATATTGGTTGTTGGTTTGTCATAAATAGCTTTTATTATTTTGAGATACATTCTGTCAATACCTAGTTTATTGAGGGTTTTTAGCACAAAGGGCTGCTGAAATTTGTCAAAGGCCTTCTCTGCATCAATTGAGATTATCATGAGGTTTTTGTCTTTGGTCCTGTTTATGTGGTGAAGTACATTTATAGACTTGCATATGTTGAACCAGCCTTGCATCCCCAGGATGAGTCCTACTCGATCATGGTGGATAAGCTTTTTGATGTGCTGTTGCAGTCAGTTTGCCAGTATTTTATTGAAGATTTTTACATCTATGTTCATCATGGGTATTGGCCTGAAGTTTTCTTTTCTTGTTGAGTCTCTGCCAGGTTTTGGTATCAGGATGATGTTGGTCTCATAAAATGATTTGGGAAGGATTCCTTCTTTTTGGATTGTTTGAAATAGTTTCATAAGGAATGGTACCAGCTCCTCTTTGTGTGTCTGGTAGAATTCGGCTGTGAAACCATCTGGACCTGAGCTTTTTTGGGTTGGTAGGCTCTTAATTGCTGCCTCAACTTCAGACCTTGTTATTGGTCTATTCGGGGTTTCGACTTCTTCCTGGTTTAGGCTTGGGAGGATGCAAGTGTCCAGGAATTTGGGAGTTAGGGCTTTATTTACTTGTTTCTGTTGTGCTGCTGCCTTTTTTCAGGGCTGCCCTGCCCAGTGAAGAGGCAGCCTAGTCACTGTCTGCCTGCAGAAGCTTTGCTGAGCTGCTGTGGGATCCACCCAGCTGCCATGTGAACTTCCCTGCAGTCCTGTTTATATGGGTATAGTTAGAACTGCCTCGGCAATGGCAGCCCACCTCTATAATGGTGGACTCTCTCTGTAACGGCGGGCTGCCTCAGCAATGGCAAACTACCTCTGTAGTGGTGGACTGCCTCGGTAATGGTGGACGCCTCTCCCCCACATGGCTGGACTGTCCCAGGTTCAGCTGTGCTTGCTGTGAAACTCTCAATCCAGAGTGTTTCTGATTGCTGTTTTTTTGTGGGGGTGGGACCAGCTGAGCCTAATCACCTGGCTCCCTGTCTCAGAGCCTTTTTTTTTTGTTTTTTAAGTTGAATAGTTGACTCTGTCTCCCAGGTGTTCCAGTCGCCTGTTGAGAAGTCGCCAGGACTAGTGTGATTTCCCATGCAGCGACCCACTGCGCCAGCTGAAACAGCCACGCTGAGATTTGTGGCACTTTTTTGCCCAGGAATCTCCTGCATGGCTCCCTGTTTCAGTCCCCTTTTTAATCAGTTGAATGAGCGACTCTGCCTCCCAGGAGCTCCAATCACTAGCTAAAATGGTGCCTGGACCCATGTATTTTATACGGAGAACCACTGCGCAGGGGCACCGGCAAAACAGCCGCGCCAGCCAAACAGCCTCATGGGCCAAAACAGCCGCGCCAGCCAAAACATCCATGCTGGTGACCTGTGGGGCTCCTCCGCATGGGAATCTCCTGGTCTGTGGGCAATAAAAATCCGTCTGGAAATGCGGCATCCAGTCACCCTCCCTGCTTTCCTTGGGAGCTGCAATCCTGAGCTGCTCCTAATTGGCCATCTTGGAACCCTCTCTATCAACACATTTTTAAAAATACAAATATGCCAAGACCAATGACATATTCATTGTAAAAAACGAGGAAAGGAACTCAACAACTCACCTGTTTCTCTTTTTTTAAAAATTTCATTCACATATTTTTTGAGGATCTATTATGCAAAAGGCAGATGACCAGACAGTGAGGCCAGCCAGTTTGCCACTGGGCACCTAACATTCATATTTAACATGCATAAGAAGAAGAGAAAGAAGAACATACCCTGCAAAGTTAAAGAGAATACATTTAAGTGAAACAAATTAGCAAACTCAGAGAGTGTTTGCAATGTCCTCCAAGGACACGAAGGGGGTAAATTAAAAAGAGTGACAGAGGTGAAACTCTGGAATGTCACCATGCATGCAATCATTAGGAAAGCTGACTAATGTAGCCCTTCTCCACTGCTGCAGGTGTCAGGTCTTTGACTTGAAAGAGAGGGAGGAAAAGAAAGGAGAGAAAGAGAAAAAGAGAAAAGAAAGAGAAAAGGAAGAGAAAGGAAAAAGAAAAGTGAAAAGAAAGAGATAGCAGGTACATATGGCCTTTCAGAGTCCAGAAGTGAATAAAAATCTCAAAAAGGGAGCGGCTTATTAATAACTTGCATGTGTTCAGTGATTCTTAGTTTTCAAAGTATTGCACTTTCTTATCTGTTACCTCACTGCATCCTTCAAACAATATTTTGAAGGATCTTATGGAGTCAAAGAGCCAGCTAATTCCATCCAGTTACCTCTTAGCTCTGCAAGAGTCACTCATGTATATGGATCAACCATGCCCTTTGTTTCTCCATTTTCTTTCCATTGAATGTGGACATTAGCGTTTTAGCCAAAGTGGAA